CCCCGCGACCCCCGGCAGCCGCGGCGGGGCCCCGCTGCCCCCGGCCCCGCTGCCGCCCCCTCCCCTACCTGATATGGCGGCGGCGGCTCCTGATCCGGCTCAGCCCCGTCTCCGTAGCTAGCTCTGTCCGACTGGGACTCGTGGAGCAGCGAGATGTCATCCGAGGTGGGGGACTTGAGGCAGTTCCCCATCTTCCCGGGGGGAGCGCGGCCCCCCCTCCGCCTCCTCCCGCTCCGGATCCGCGCCCTCAGCCTCCCCGCCGCAGCGCGCAGCCCGCAGCCGCCCCGCCGGGGAGGCTCATGCCAGCCCCGGCCCTAAGCGGCTTAGCAGCTGCAGCCCGGCCGCCTCCCGCTCCGCAGCCGCCCCGACCCCCGAGCCAGGGGGGCGGCAGGACGGGCCTCCCACCCCCCGTGGGGCAGCGGGCTCCGGTGGGTCCGCCCGCCCCGCGGCTGCCCGGCGCGGTTCTGCTTCCCGGTCACCAGCTCCCTGCGCACTGGGCTTTGTCGCACGGGCCGCCCTGGCTCCTCCTCTCACCCCTCCCCGCCGGGCCCGGGGAGCAGCCGCGGGGCCTCGCCGGGCTCCGCGCCCCCCGGCCCCGCCGCGGGGACAGCCCTGCCCGCCCCCGACGGAACGAGGCGGGACAGGACGGGCTGGGGGACCCAGCCGCCTGCTGGGCTCCCCCGGCCCCAAAATGGTGGGAGCCGCTTCGCTCCGCCCCCGAGCGCGGTGTTTGTTTGTGTTCCGGGCATGGCGGAGCCGGCGGCCGCTCGGGCCCGGCGGGGCGGGACAGGGCGGGATGGCAGCGGGACCCCCGCACCACCCGGCCCGCCCCGCCGAGGGCTTTGTGCGGGGCCCAGGCACCTTCCCAAGGGCTCCCCCCGGGCGGGTCCCCTGGCAGGGAAGGGTTTCCCCGTGCTGGTCGCTGGCGTGACCCGAGGAGCACGGTCAATGTAGGCACAGGGCATTTGAAGCCCAGAGTGGAGCAAAATCAGCAGTAGGCACTTGTTTTTTGCGTTTCTAAGGGGTTTTTTATGCGATGATCAGGTACTCAAATAAGCCATATATTTACCTCCTTTTATTTTTTTCCTCCATAAAAATATATCCATACTTGGATATAAGCATAGGTAAGTACTGATAAATGCAAATTTGAGGACAGGGAATGCTCCTGTGTCACTGTGTTAGTGTGCCAGCACTGACCCACACAGAGTGGAATATACGATGGTCCTGTTAGTGTTCTTTGGTTCCTCAAAATGCATCCTCGGCCTTCAGATTCACACCATGGACAATACTTCAAAATCCAATTTTTGAAGTCAAGTATTATTTTTTAAAGTGAAGCAAATGTGATGCAGATGAGAGCAGCTGCAAAGTCCAGTCTGTAAAGCAGTACAGCGTGGCTGCTGCTTATCACCAAGTTCTTTGCTGATACAGCTGGGGCCTGCTTTGCACCTCCTTGGGTCAGAGTATCTCCAGACCTGTTGTTCACGGTGACGTATTTGCCTCCACAACCTTTGCTGGTGGACCTCAGTCTGGGATCAGAATTTTTGCTGATTATCCTTATGAGTTCAGTCTTTTAGAATTCATTTTATTACTGTTTAGGGTGGTTTGTTTTGCTACTTATCAATGGGTAAGTTAAACAAGCCTGGTGTAAAGCCTGTGATTGCTGCCATTTATGGTGTTCTAACACAGTCTCAGGCTTTTCAAGGAAACTGAAACTGAAAATGGGGCAGGATTGTGAGTGTTGCTCAAGATAGAGAGGCTTTGCAATGGTGCATTGTAAATAATGACTGGTACGTGGCTTGCTCATTTGGGTGTTTATCCTATGAGTCTGTTGGCGTGGTTTAATAGAATTAGGCAAGCAATTGCTGGAGGAGATCCAGCGAACCACTGCCTCACCCAGTCGTGATTTCAAGGTTAAGGCAATGTCAGAGCTGTCTGCTGTGAGATCCTGGTGATGAAACTCCAGCGTTGTCACTGGTATTTTCAGTTGGGCAGTGGCACCACTGGGAATGAGATATGGGCAGCTAAAAGACTGAGTTAGCTATTTTCATGTTTTGTTTTCTCTGTGAGGCTGGGGCCTGTGTCGTTGATGTAGTTCAGTGAAAACCACAGGTCACACTGCGCCGTGGTGTGAGGCTGTGATCACAGTTTGATCCTCCACAGCGAGGAGGTCCCATGGAAAACTGTGGTGCCTCCCTGCTGGCTGGTATGTCAAAATAGCCTTTCTTTGGAAACCAGAGTGCAAACTGGTCCCATCCTGATATGCAGTCAGGACATAGGTGGGATTTCCTCTGCATCTCATGGTAGAGATGTTGCATTTATTTACCTTGAGGCCGATCACCAGAAGGAATAGCTGCTAATCCCAGTTACAACTTTTCCCTTAGTTAGGATGCTCCAAATCTGAGCATGTTTGAAAAACTGCAAACTTGTCAAGTGCCAGAAGAGACCTGCTGTTCATGGTGGACTCACAGAGACTAAAGAGGAAGCAGAGGTTCATGTTTGGCCTTGCACCAAGACAGACTGCACCTGTGAGAGCTCTGAAGAGGAGGAGCTACTACCAGTCATGCCTGGATTCTTGGAAGTAGGGGTGGTTGAAGGCACTGCTTTTGCCAGCCATTCACTCCTGTTTTGTCAGATAGGTCATTAATAGTGGCTTTGCACCGCTGGCTCAAAAGCTGTACAAAGGTCCACGAGATGGAAAATGGAAATATTTTAGTGTTCACAAATGTCTTTTTATATCCCTGTATATGCCGAGGTGTAGCTGTGAGCCTGCTCCTTTTGCTACCACGCTTTTTGCAGGTTGGGGACAAGGAAGCAGAGGGATGGGTCCTCAGAGGATGGGATTTATGAGTATGGTTTCTGTGTTTTAGCAGAAGCACAGGGCAGTTTAACTTCAGTTCTCTTTGGTTTTTTACTTCCTCTACTTAGTTTGGGGAAGAAGTAATAGTCAGAATGGATTTTCTAGGGCCTTAGAGGCTCCTATAGAGGAGGAAAGACACATGTTGTGGTTTAGGGCTGTACAAATACTACAGACAGAAAAGATCATGCAAATACAAAATTTATGTCAGACTAATATCAATACAGAACTGGCAACACAAGTCAATGAAACTTTTTCTCACCTCTAGACATTTAAACAGTTGGCTGTAATCTGTTGTCAGAGTGGAAATGTTTATGTTCTGAAGTTTGCCAGCGTTCAGAATTCATGTTCTGGTACACTTCAATACAACAATGTCACACATGGGTCTGTCCTCACCACCTTCTGGCAGCTACCATCTTCTCAGTGAAATCCATCTTTCAAAACAGAATGGAAATTCAAGAAAAAGAGCTTTAAACTGCAGACGAAGTTTATATTTTATTTTATAGGTTTTTGGTATGAGAGGAGGCAAGTGACGTATTGATGTATTCTTGAGGCTCATACGAGATAGACAGAGATGAAGAACTGTTTTACTGAAAAATCCATTTCCTTTTGAGTTAAAAATCTGAAATCCTCTGAGGACATAAAAAGTCCTTCTTGTTAGGATTTCCTCTACAAAATTGATGTCATAAATTGCCTAATTTTTAAATGAAAGACCCTTTGATAACAGTATTTTATGTGATCCATGTTCATGTTATTGTTGGACAACATTTTGGATATATTTAATATGTCTTGCTTAACAAAAGTTTTTGAAAGACCTTTTCTGTCCTTAGCATGGAAAAGTTTTTTCACTTCCTTTTCTTCCATCAAGCTTATTTTCCCAGCACTTATCATCTCTCATTAGGTCTTATCTTTCTTCTGGATAGGATTGTTTTCCCAATTCATGCACAGAAGCCCAGTTATTTCTGAGTGCAGTCTTTCCATGCCATGGTACCCAGAGGTTCAGAGATAACTCTGTTTGCTCGGGTAATGTTGGTGAATAGAACACAATGCAATTTTAAAACCTTTTTCTGGAAGGAAAAAAAAATGGACTTTGTATACCTCTGGAGAATGGAAGTAAATTACATTCTTCCATTATGTATGTGAATCTGATTATGAGGATGGTGGAATTAATTTATCTGGTTATAAAGAACATGGCATCTTCTAAAATGCACATGATTATTTTTAGTTTTGTTGATTTCAGCTGAACTGTAGATGTTTCTCAGTGTATGTTACAACTGCATATTGCTTTCTGAGACAGAGTGAATGCAGCACTAGAAAGCAATTATGGAACTAATATATTTCCCTGAAATGTACTTTGTGATGCAGGATTTTACTCATGTTTCTAAAAATTACTTAAACTTCTGCCTAAATTATCCTGGTATCACAAATATTCCACTTACATCAATTTATCCCAAAGATACCATCTTGGTGAGGGGAAGTATTCCGTGACTGGCAAGAATAACTTGCCTTCCATAATAACAGTTTTCCCCAGGTCCAAGATGTTTTTTCAGCCAGGAGTGTAATGCCTGCCTATTCTGGGCACCTACACTGCGAGCCACAAAGAACAGAAAGAACATGTATTTTGGGACTAAAACACCCAAGCAACAAAGCAGACAGTCACCATACAAAGGTAACCTCTTCAAACAAACCCTCTGTCACCCAGCTTCCTGGGGAATTTTGTGTAGGAATAATTTTTTTTCTCCTTGTACCACATGTTGCCATAGTCTCAACTTCAAGAATGATCAGAGACCTATAAAACATGATCTAAAGGGAAAGATTGAAAGAATTGGGGTGGTTTAGTCTGAAGAAAAGGAGGGTGTTGGGGAAAATGGTAATGATCTTTCAAAGATACAAAATGTTTCTCTGCAGAGAGAAGGAATCAGTTTTTCTTTATGTTCAGTTGGTCTAGGGCAAGAGGTGATGGACTTGGAAATTTAACGTAGATATTAGGAAATTATTTCAAACTGAAAATGTAGTTTGACAGTGAAAATGATTATCTGGGAATCTCATTTGCTGAAGGCTTTGAAAGGCAGATTAGGTCACATGTTTCAGGAAAGGTTTTAGTTGCAGTAGATTATATGGAGATAACCCCAAAAGGTTCCTGGCTGGTTTATGATGTTTTGTTTCTCTCAGGTGATTTACAGCAGATGCTTTACTGCTGTGTTATTTTGATTCTCATTCTTATATCCTCAGAAAATGCCAGTAAGAAAAGATGTCAGTAGGTAAAAAATTGGGTAAGTAGAATAGGTGGGGATGTTTCCAATAGCAGAGTACTAAGAAATCACAGTTCCTGCAGGAAAGCTGGTGTGCTTGAGCAGTGTGACATGCTGACATGTCACATTCAGCATGTGTGACATCCAGCCTGTCCTGACAGGCTTTGGGACACAAGTATTGGGCTGGCTTTCAACAAGTGGTGATTAGTCAATACACAGATACCTATGTTTTTAATATTAATTGGAGCTTCACTTTTTGCTGTGTTCGAGTATTTCCTGAATTTGCAAGGAGTGAACTCTATCCACAGTTCACCAGAAGCCAGTTTGTTAGACATCTTGTTCCTCCTGTTCTCTGCAACAGTAAGGCAGTATCCAAAGTGTTTGTAATTCCTTGAAACAGAGCTGAGGTATTAATTGTTCTAGTTAAATATGCATTCTGCTGCAAAATTTAAAACACCTTTTGTTTGCCATCTCCATACTCTGTTTTTCTCATTTTCACCATTCTTCCTGTAGCCAACTGTAGGTCTTCTGCAATAAAATAGTGATAAAATGACACTTGAATAAACTCATGAGAGAACCTAGGGAGTGTGACCTGTCAACTCTGGTTGACAAAGACAGCTCTGCCCAAGTCCAAGATCACCTGTGTTGTTGTCATTCCTTGGCAGAAAGCTGTTGAAACTCTTTCTGGATACTGAATGATGGCTACAGGTACTGTGTTCTAATCCCTTACTGCTTCAAAAAATGTCCTGAGATTGCTGTAAGTCAAACTCTTTATTATGTGTTCTGTTTGTATTGTTAAAGCAATTTTATGTATCTGAAAACTTACAATGCTTTGTTTCGGTTTTTTCTTATGGATCAGGATTTGTAAATCTCTGAGATGTTTCACTGTCCTGCAGCCTCCTTCTTTGGTCACTTTTCCAGTAGGCATGGCACCCCAAGCTGCACAGAGTGATCCAGTTAAAACCTCAGTGTTTAATAAAGGAATATATTTAGTGTGTACAAAAATGCCATTGATCAAATGTAGTGTCCTTCCTTTTCCTAACACACCATTGCCTGCAGTTTGTAGCTCCTGTCAGTCCCTATCCATCTCCATGTAATTCCTGCCTACTCAGATTTTCTTATTTTATGCTTCTCCAGATGATTATTCTGAAGGGTTCTATTTTGCACTTCCTGTTGAAGCTCTGGTCTGTGACAGCTTAGCTGGCTGAATTGCAGCAGAAAAGTTACTGGAGACTGAACAGAAGGAATGTGAGAAGGAACCATTGAAGATTTTGTACTAAAAGTATCAGGTGGTTGTGAATGACTGCCCTTGGGAAATTCACTTTATCCTCTGGCCAGAAATGTTTCTTCTTAACATTTAGTTTTGCTTTTTGATTAGTCTGTGTTTGTACAGCCTGCTCTTGGAGGGACAGGCTGGAAATTTGTACCAGTATTTTCTTTTGCATGCTCAAACACTACTGTGTTTCCTGAAAAAAAAATTCTAGAAACAACTATATCATGCAGAAAACAGAAGTTATCATAAATTAGGCCTCTAACAGTATGAAAAAGAGTACAAGAAAGTAATTGTACAATTCATCAGTCTGTTCTGATTTTGGTTGTGTGGAGATTCCAATAAAACATGAAAATCTTGCTTGTTTACTTATATGACAAAAGAGGAGAAAGGCCTTTTTTTTTTTAGCAGAACATACTGTTTGAACAAACATCACAGTGAAACAAGGCAGCTGAAGGCACTGTCTGTTCTTTTTTATTGTTTGTAAGGTTTAGAAATTTTTGTGTCTAAGAATAAATTATTTTTCTTTTCATTTATTGTGAAGTGCATGCCTACAGTTAGTTTTTATGACAGCAAACTGTTCCCTCTTTCAGCTGAGTTTACAAAAATTGCACACTCTGTGGAGCTACTTTAACTTTTATTTGGAGGCATTATCATCTTAGCAATGGACTTGCAGGCTGCTTCAGAAATTCTGAAGGCTGCATATTGACTTAGAAAATGTCTCAAAAACCACAGGCACACCATTTGGTGTTTTGGTCTTTGTTCTGTTCCACAAACACTCCTTTAGACGTGGGGGACTGCACAGAATCTCTGCAAGACACAGGGTGATTGCAGGGGAGCATTTTGCCTCTGGCTTACAAGCTGTACACCAGCACAGTGCAAGGGTTAAGGACAAGATAAAATCACTTGCTGCTGTTTTGATTTCCTGAGGAGTTGTTGTTTTCACATGAGAAATGAGGAATGCAGTGAAGATCATTCCTGTGCCAAAATTTCAAAGTATGTTTCTGTCAACTGTAGTGCCATTCATAGGTTTTACATCAGAATCTTAAATTTGGATATAAAGATCTCTGTTGTAGAAGCCCCATCTTGTGGACAACCAATCAATGACTACTTCAGCACAACTGAAATCTGAAATACTTAGAAAATCTGGAGATATTTTCGTAGTTTTTGCAACAAACTGGAGAGTCTTCCTATTTCTGGAAAATATGGAAACTTCATTCATGTGTAGAAATCAGCATGTGCTTTCCAAAGACTATTTCCATAGGAAATTGTGACTTGCAGAGAGATATTAACATTGGGGTGGAACCAAGGATGGTGTCCTCAGAACCCTGTTTTAAGTCCAAATCAGCTAAAACACAAGCCTGAATCCTGGCCTGAATTCCCAAAATAGTGTCCTGTAGCACTTGGATAGTACAAATGAGTCTTTAAGTGGCAAAATCGTAAAAGGGCAGAAGGACATCCTTTGAAAAAATTGTTAAGAGAGAAAGAATAGCAAAGTATGCATGGAAACTGAATCTGGAGACACTGGAAATATCCTTAAGGAGATTGTTTGTTTCAGCACAAAGTAGTGGATGAGGTCAGCAACTCCAGACTCAGTGAGTCAACACACTTAGTAGGAAGTAAAAAGAGTGTGAAAACAAGCCTGTGATAAAAGCTATTTTCAGGTTTCAGTGTGACCTTGGTAGGCTATATTAAATATATTCTGTTAAATCGAATAATATGTCCATATAATTAGAATGTCTTTTTGTTGCTCTGAAGAAATTGGGTTGCTCTATGATAGTTTTCTGTTTCTTCCACGAAGAAAGTAGGAGCCTTCGTAATAGTTTTCCATGTAGTAATTAAGGCTGTAATGAAGGAGCCAGAAAATGTGGCGACATCTAGGGAAAGGTTGGCAGAAGTGCCTGCAGCTGAA